ATAGAAAACCAACGGCTTAATGTAATTTGACAGTTGCTAAATTAAATAAACTTGAATACATTTTGATTGAAAATTTTATCACCATTGAATATTGGAAGTTTTTGGTTTGCATTTGAACAGTCTCTATTTTGATCGTTTTCGCCAACATTTGCAACTGTTGAAATGATTTAAATAAGATCTGCTTCTTGGGAATTTAGTTCGTCTGAAAAAATTTGTGAAATGAGTAATTTAGGAATAATTACAATATGAATGATTGACAGTTTCACAACTTCTCGTGGTCTCGTCGTCCTACACTGTTACGTAATACGGCTTGATTACATTTATCCTTTGTATTCAAGGAGTGTTGATTTTTTTTTTAACTAGTGAAAACAGCTCGCCACTTCATTTCAGCTACAGCTTGAGTTTTTTTTTTAAGCAAGAGAATGGGGTAGTGACAACTGCCTAAATTCTACGTTTAATTCTATCTCATCTAAGGTTTTAAAGCTCTCTTTGCAATCACTGGTCGAGATAAATGATTAACCTATTTTACATTATATAACTGCTAGTTATACAGTTTGACTATATGTTTGTCGCTGCAACGAAGAGCTGTTGGCAAGTGCCAAGTGAACTCGGCTGCAATTAAAGTTTGTAATGTACATGCGTAAATCTTGAAATTTTTCAATTTTTTAGCCTCAGGTTGGTGCATTTTGGTGCTTCCTGGTCAGAGGCGTGTAAACAGCTTGATACCATTTTAAATGAGCTGAGTGAAGAATTGAAATGTTTTAAAGTAGCTTTCATTGACGCTGAAAGCATCCCAGATGTAGCTGTTGCGTATCAGGTCACAGCAGCACCAACTCTAGTATTTTTTAAGGTAAGTTGCTTGGAGTTTATATAAATTATTATGCACTTGGGACTTTTTTCCCAAGAAACTTGTATGACTGGTAATTTTAAGGTCATTTTAAGGCCCTTCTTTTTTTAATGAGAGTATATATGTTTTTAAAGCGGAATTTAAAGTTAGTAAATATTTCCTAATTTTTTTTATTAATTATTCATCTGGATCTACATTTTGAATGATCCTCAAAAATTACGCCTCTCTTACTATTTCAGTCGTTTAGGGTGGGAAAGAGGTGGATCGTCATAATGGATTTAATCCTTCTGAAATAAGAAATAAGATCGTGAAGCTTTCTTTTACGGAGGACAAATCGGGAAAGGTGATGTAACAATTTTGCTGAGAAAACTTTTTTGACAGAGATTTATCGGTCTACTAGAGTTTATTCATTTAGGATTTAAATAAAAGGCTCGAAAGTTTGATCAAAACTGCACGTTTAATGCTTTTTATGAAAGGCGATCCAGCGGCACCGAAATGCAGTAATCTTTTTGAAAATCTCTATATTTATAAAAATGTTGCTTTATAAATTTATTAGTTGACTCGCTGCCTGATATTTTAACTTACAGAATTTTCACGTCAAATGGTTGATCTTCTTAATGAATTAAAGGCTGACTACAAATCGTTTGATATACTGGAAGACGAAGAAGTAAGATCATTTTAATTTGCAGGCTCATCAGTTTTAGTTCTTGCTAAAATTGTGATTTTTAGGTTCGACAAGGTTTAAAGGTGTATAGCAACTGGCCAACATATCCCCAGCTTTATTTGGATGGTGAGCTACTGGGTGGTTTAGACGTAATTCGAGAAGAAATTAAAGATTCTGATTTTGTCAAGAAGTTGCCAAAACGTGAAAGCGCGTAATGTAATTGTAGGTTGATGTAAATGAAATAAAGAGTACTGGGAGTTTACTGTGGTAATTATAACATTTACTACGAGTTATTTCTTGAGAAATAATGGGTTGAGCTTTTGTTGCTTTGGTTTTTAATGTTTTAGTCATCCACAATTCGCAAGTGACATTGAACTTGAAGTAGGTATTTTCAAAACTTAAAATTTTCAAAATACTTTACCGTAAAAATGTTTTTTATATTCCTGTACGTGGTTAGGAACAACTGAACACTGAGAAACAGAAGTAGGTAGAAACGGAATACGAAGAAAGACATTTTTTACAGTTGCAAATTGTCGAATAAATTAAAAGTTTGCAATAAGCTGAAATTTTTTTTTTCTTTTGTTTTAACTTTTAGATACTGCTTTCTACCCAGTTTTTGGCGATTTAGGTCAAAACACTTGGTGGGAAGCAGTTACATTCAACGTGGAGTATGGGTGACAGAGCAAGCGAAAAGATACTCCACGAATTACACGGTCGTTTTGATGAATCGGTCTTTATGCGAAGGTTGTCACTGACAGGCTCAGCAACTTGGCAGTGGGAGGAATTTAGTGTCCCAATTTGCTGAAATAAGTTGGGTTCATCGATTAGAAAAGCCTTAAATGTAGGTCATTGAAATTGAGTATTAAAACGTACCATTGGAGGAAAAGGACGCGAGGGATAGATTAGCTCGGAGTAAGGTGGTCCTTTTGGACTGCTTTGTAACAATATCCTTGTCATTGGTGGACTGATGCGGGGTACCCTGCGAAATACTATTAAGTTCACAGAGTTGTCGTTTATGCTTGAAAGTTTAAGAACGAATGGACTGTTGAGAAGAGGAGGTTAGTGGAGAAACAGATTTTTAGCATAGAATTCTGATGCCTCGCAAACTGCTCACTGGCTTAGGAGCGAGTGCCTTGTTAACCGACGTAGTATTAACATTTATAACATTTACATCAACAAATAGTGCCATTTTCATCACTTTTATCTGTTCTGTAAGAACAAAAAATAAAAGTTTTTTTGAACTTACTGTTGCATAGCTGGAATGGCAACGGGTGGAATGTGCAAAGGACGTATCTGTTCTGGCGAACACAGTATGTTCGGTGGACCTTTGGGAGCCAGAAATGCTGCGGCAGGTTCAGGCCATCGTTGTGCATCCATAGCTGCCTGTTTCCAGGCTAAAGTGTGACTGAAACTGTTTTTCAACTGTCTAAGCACTGCATTCTTATTTATATATAGTTTGATTGGATTTTAAAAGAACACTCCAAAAATTTGCTAGAAAATTAAATTGGAATGTTAGTATAAGAAGTGACCAGCGTGTCACATATTTAGATCTCTGTACACCAGGAAAGTTCAAAGATGAAAATAAGTAGTTTGTGGCAAACCTGTAGCCTGGTTGAATCACTTTTGCATTTTGCATCGCATCTGGAGCGACTTCTGCTATTGCAGTGTTGATAAAAGGAACAAACAAAGGTTTCAGTTGGTGGTTCTGTTGGAGGGTGGCGGTTGCAGATTTTTGCAAACTTGGTACTGAAATAAAAGTCTTCTTTTTTTTTTTTTTTTTAAGAGAAAAGCACAAAAAACATCTTTTGTTTTAGTTTTGTTTTTGTTTCTTTATTTATTTTTTAAACGAATAAGTCTATTCTGCTTTTATTGTCTCACTTCGTTAACTCTTTGACCTAAATTGATCAGTGCTCAGTCATGCTCATTTATGCAAGAAATTGGCTGGTTCTGATAGTTGCTATTTACTGGACAAGTTGTTACAGTTCCGGACTGTTAATAGATTTGTATGTTCGCTGGTATATGCTACCATTTTGCTGTATTCATAGTCTTTTTAGCTGATTTGAAAGGATGACAAATTTCACTTTGACGATATTCGACTTGTGACGTAAAGAAGTTTGAAGGACCAAAACAACTAATAACTGGGATTGCGAAGAAAATGAGCTTTTTTTTTTTTTTTTTTGATCTGCAGAAGGTGCAATTTGTAACAGTTCAACGATTATAAAGTTTAGTTGGTGTCTGCAATATTATTTGCATATGAAAGAGCGGCAACGTAGCGGAAAGCATACTGTTTGGATTTCTTAGTTGTGACGAGTAGGCATTTGTTGACGACGACTGATAACCGCTGAGGTATTCGGCTTCAATTATAACGTCCTCTTGTTGCGTCGAAATTGTCGGTTGTGCAGGTGGTGATGGAGTAATATCTTCTAGTCGTATTGGTGAAACAATACAAGTTGAAGTTTTTGGAGCTATTTTTTGTTTCATGTCTTCTGCTAATGATGGTGTTTCGTTTGGACCTGACGAAGTTGTTTGGGCAGATTGAGACGATTCCATAGAGCTAGCAGATGTTAAAGGTATTATCGGCGTGTTTTCTTGCACCTTCATAGATTCATCGATCTTTTTAAGCGCTATATCTATTACTTTTTTTCTTTCTTCTTTGTCTGCTTCAAAATTGCTATCTACAGGTTTTGGGACAACAAAGTTTGTCTCCCGAATTTCGTTTCTTGCGTTTTCTACTGGTTCATTTGGTGACAATATAGAATCGCTTTTGTCCGCGCAAAGAGTTTCAAGTATCGGCATCATGATCTTTGCCTTTTCTATTGTGTCATCATTCTGGCTAGAATTTTCGCCACCGGAACTTCCATTGTCACGTTCGTTTTCCAGACTTTTATCTTCACTTTTAAAACTGACATTTTTGCTGGCAGTTTGTTTCGTCTCTTTAGATAAACTATTAGTGGATGCTGCAACAGATTAATAACTCATATAATCATTTGCTACTATTTTAATTGTTACCGGATGGAATGAACCGTGTGTATTTGTGTAATTGGTAGCTTTTTAAGTCATGTATAATAATGTAACTGTTAGTGTAAAGAAAGCTCTGCAGCGATTTGGCGTAACGTAAAATTTGTGTTTCGGGTACAATTTCTGATATTGTAGTATACAAGCTAATGGAATCGGTCACATGAAAAAGTGATATAATTTTGAGGGAAAATATTAAATTCTGGATAGAGTTAGTCAATTCACATATTTCTGACCTGGTGTTTTCGTCATTCCCTGTTCTTCGTTGTCCGGTCGATCGTTACTGTTGCTGTTATCTTTCGCTTTATCGTCACCGCTTGCTAATATTAAATCTTTTAACGCAGTTGGAACTTTTCGTACTGAAGGAGTAGGCAGCTGTTGATGCTCTTTATTTTTTGAATTTTTACCATCAGCTGAGTCGGATGAGCGCCTTAGATGCTTTAAGTTGTCGGGTTCTTTTATATGTTGCTGCAGCATACCTCGAAATGCATTGACTACTTCCTCCACTTCTTGAAAATCTTTCACCGGTGCATGCATAAGTTTTTCGAGGTCTTCAAAGAAAACGTTCTTAGATTTTGAGCTTTTTGGCAGATTTACTTTAGACCATGGCTGTAACGTTGGAGGATTAGACTGCGTTTTTTCAGTTTTGATGTCGTTTTCCATAAGGCGTCGTTTTTCTGGAGCTAATTTTTTTGGTGTTGGCGACGGTAACTGTTTTCTTTTCCCTTGAAGACGTTTTGCTTTATCACCTAAAATTTAGTCGTTAAGCGATATATCTTCTCTGTTGCTCCTAGTTTCTTCAATTCTCTGGTGCGTTTTGGTTTTAGTAGAATCCCGGTGCAGTTAATTTACTTTAATATGGTATGTATATTTAAATAGTTTTTACAGTACAACAATGTCCACCGTAGAACTGTCATTTGGGATGATCACTAAGTTTTTCTGTTGCTCAGGGTAAAATGTTGCTTTAAAAAAAAAGTACTTATTTTGGAGTCATAACTTTTTGACAAGTTTAGATCTGTTTTTGGCTTTTAGGTAATGTATGAAAATTTTTAGAAATTTAAATACAGAGTTGTTTTTTCATTGGAATGATGATTAAAACAGCCACTGTTTTGCTTATCATCAAAACTTCTGTGGCTGTTATAGATAGTGTTATATATATATTGTTAAACAATAAACAGAACATAATGCTATTTGTTTGAGCTATTGTATAAAATTAATTTAAAGTGACCTTACCAAAATGCGGAGATGATTCAGTGGTTTCGCTGTCAGTTTTCGGTTGCTTATCGTTGGACGGGTTTGTCTTATCCGTTTCGCTTCTGGTTTGCCACGGTGGTCTGATTGGTTCTGCCATCGTTTTCTATCTCGAGTGATAATTGATCGGATGCTGAACATATTCAATGCTGTAGAACAGTAGTCTCGTTAAAAATTTTAAAAATTTGTCATTATAGGAAGCGATTTCCAGCGGTCAGGAATAGGAGGGGAAATAGAGGAGACAAAAGTTGCGGAGTACGCTATTTAGTCACGCGAAGATTTTGGCCGCATTTTGTCGGTTGATGAAGATTCTATTTTTTTCAATTAAAAGGAGCGTTTAAAAATTTCAAAAAATTAATTTTAAACTGAATTCTAAAACCGACATCTGTAACAGCATTTACAGAATGGCAGTAATTCAGAGTAACACTTAAGGTCGTTTCTATTTTCTTTCGTTATTTGCTTTTCTATGATTGCATTAGAAAAACATAGAGTAGAAGTTGTAGTAGAAGTGGGGAAAGAAAGTGAAAGAAACTGTAAAGAATAGAAAGGAAATTTGAGTAATAGGTTTAGAATGCAACAAATGACTGATACCGCCGTTGTTACAGTTTGGTTCCGTTATCGGTTGCCGCAAATGATTTGGTCAGATAACAGCCTTATTATAGTTCAATTTACATATGTGACAGTTTGTTGTTATCTTTGAATGCGTCAAAATATCTGTTTTTGTTAGTAACATCTAGAAAACAGCGTCTTTCGCTTGTCAGTACCGAAGACACTCTTAAAGTCCATGTTTAAGTTTTTTTCAAAGTGCTACACTATCATAGTATTCAGGAAAAATTCTTACTGTCAACAAATTTTGATTGATCAAAGTACTGCTGAACAGCTTCAATGAAGGAAACTGCAGCATGTATTTATCAGTTATCGCTGGTAAAAAGTGAAACAATTTTTGGCATTAAGATCTTTCTTGAGAAGGAAACACATAGAACTAAATTGCAACTTTTGAGTCGTAATGATGAAGTCTGAGTCAATAAACATCGTATCGAAAGCGCAGAAGTTTTGTTGTCTTATAGCCAGCAGGGAACGTGGAACGAAACTTTGAATTGTTGACAATTTGAAGTTTCACATTTTTGAATTTTTTTAGTTTTTAGTAAACCATGTAGGAAGAAGTCAGACCTACACTGTAATTAAAAACTTTATATCTGTTATTTGTTTAATGTATTTAAATTGTCTAGCTTTCGAACATTTGGTCAAAGAACAATTGAAGTTTACCAACTGATACTGCAAGTAATCTAACTGAAATTGAAGCTGAGATGAAGTAGATGTTTCTTAATTCTACATGAACTGTTTTTGTTTCCAAAAAAGGGTTTCAAGAGTAACAATAGGGACACAATTGTCATGAAAAAAAAAAAACAGGCACCCACTCATCCTTTATAGTGTCATAAATAATCTATTTTTAACTACATGCTGATAAAAAGGTGTAAATGACTGCCTTCTAAATAAACAAGGTTTAAAATTTTTAAGCTTTAGGCTTATGCATTCCAAATAAAACAGAGCAAAGGCAATTATTTAGCAGGAAATTTACCATATAGCTGGTTACTTGTTCTGTAGTCGACAGTGACAGTGTCGGTGTTGATGGGATCGCTGCAACTGAGAACTCCTGCTTAGAGGCAGAAAAGGCAAGGAGAAAATCAAAATTGCATTTTTCTATGGGTAGTGCAAGGAACAGTACAACAAATTTTGAGAAGCCTCGGAACAAAGTTACAATTAAGCTTCTATTGTTCAGCAAACAATTACTATGTGGAGAAATTTTTGATTGCTCATTCAGGCTAGATAAGGTCGTAGTTTGAATTTTGTGACAATTTCTTACTGTAGCTTTTAGGCTTTCAGATTTGCCAAGTTCTACATTATTAATCACAAAAGTTGTTTTAATGTTAACAGTTGTATATTGGCTTCTGCAATACGTAATCTTTAGAAAAAAATTTTTGTTTTAAATAAGTTTTCTATTGAGTGTTGTAAAAACAACAAACAGCAGCACAATTTGTAGATTGCTTTCAATAAATGAACGCTTAAGGTAGCAGCAGTTTTTTCTTGACAAGGAAAGCAAGAAACAATTATGAGAACTTGGTTAGTTGTTGTTCTGTTGTCAAATAATGATTTACAATCTACAGTTTGGTTTATGCTTAAAAACTGAACAGAGTAGGAAAAAAGATTCACGTCAAGTTTCTGCTGTATGTTGCGGTGAGTAAATTGAATGATACTTCTCCATCAACAATGGCTACTGCTGTTTGCTTTCATTACTACCATGTTTTCTGTTCGGTTTAGAATGAGCTGTTCAAAGAAGCGGCTTGCTGACTTTCATGCAGAATCTTAACTGAACCATTCTAAATACATTTATTAGACTAGAAACGACAGTTGGTTTGTAAATTCTGAATAAAGCACTTATTTGGAGAAAAAAGAAATGTAACAGAAAACGGTGGACAAATAGCAATAAAGTTTTAACAGACGGCATATATTTATTGTCGTAATTTTTTAAACCATTTATAAGCTATACATTTAAAAAAACTGAGCTTTTTTTTTTGTCTCTTACTGATTCACTTCAATATGTTTATTTGAGTAGAGTAAAAGTTACAACTTTTTTATTTCCAACTTGTCTGAAACTAACCAAGTAAATGATTTAGTTATATTGTCAAACACTTTTTCTAGGACGCCTTTCTCTTCTCGTTTTTTTTTTTCTACTGATAAGACTAGATCAACTTGTAAATAGATACACGACAGCTTCATAAAATTTCCAGAATAAATATTACCAATACACTGATTTTATGGAAATTTGTCAAAAAAAAAAAAGAAGCAATCAATTTGGTCTACAACTAACTAAATTCTGATTAAACTGTTCAGAGAATTATTCAAAAAAATTTTTGTAACAGTAAATCAAAATAAGTGTAAAATTTTCTGGTAAGATTTTTGTTGTTGAAAGTTGGTAGTCAATTTTGAAGAAGATTTTGTAACTGCTAAATATCTTACTGCTTTTCAATGATATGTAATCATATTTTTTTTTTTGCACATTTAATTTACAATTGGTAAACTGACCGATGTCTTGTTTGATAGTACTTTTACTAACAAAAGAAGCAACTATTTTTTCAGTTTACTTATTGCGCATAAGCAACAGATTCTTTACTTAGTAGTTGCCAAGAACCTATTATAGACTTATATAGATTTATTTTACCATTCTAAATTTATAAATACTTCCTAAGTTTTGTTTAGGATTTGGAAATAAAATTTGCCACTTTTTTATTATTAATATAATTATCAAAAAAAAAAAAAGTGAAATATTTTTTGTATGAGGAAATTTTCATTGTTGACATACCTTGTCAGTCAGTTAAGCTCACTAAGGTTTTGTTAGATATATAACAACACCTGCACAAATGTAAACAGGGCCAAAGACTGTTATATCCGATTTAGCTGTTGATCATCGTTGTTGCTGTTACCATTGCTACCGATTTTAAAGCCTGCTGAAGCCTCAGTTGAATTTTCAAATACTTTGTTTTCCATAAAGTACATTTGGTTGATAAAAGAAGTTTTTTTTGATCTATCAAACAAATGCAATTTGATTAAACCACATTTCGGATGTCTGTTCATGGTCGTTATCTGGTGCGCCATGACTCTGTCTACGATGCAGGTAATGATAAACGAGGCTAAATTCGATGCTCGTGCACTGTTTCTTTTATCTTAATTTATCTACATTTATATATGCTTTATATTTAATGTTGCTTTTTGTCTTTGCTTTTTTTCATATTTTCTTATCTAGAATTGGTTTATTACCTTTTGTTTCTAGAGCGGGCAGGAAAAGCAATTATCTAAGGTTTCAATGTTAAAAAAACTTTTTTTTTTGTTTTTTCAGAAACACTTCTGCATTTCTGATTGAGTTATTGTTGGTAAGGAAAAAAAAAGAAAAAGAAAAAAAAAAGACAAAAAAAAAAAGGGAAAGTTTATTTTTGTACTCAAGTAAATAGGTACATTATGAGCGAATAAAGAAGAAGTATTGGTAGACTGGTGGAATTGGTTGGATGAACGATAAGCACTCAAATGGTCAATGAGAAGTTTATTGTTGTGTTCGTTTCAAATCTGATTCGAACATTGTTTGCATTTGTAGTCCTCATTTGTTATTGTAACATTAAGATCAGATTCACAATAGGTATATATGAGTGTATATACGTATTTATATAAATATATATATATATATATATATATATATATAT